TTTTTAAATTTATGATAGTCATACACAGAGAGAGAAAGAGAGAGAGAGGTGCAGAGACACAGGCAGAGGGAGAAGCAGGCTCCATGCACCAGGAGCCTGACGTGGGATTTGATCCCGGGTCTCCAGGATCGCATCCTGGGCCAAAGGCAGGCGCTAAACCGCTGCGCCACCCAGGGATCCCCTAAACCGCTGCGCCACCCAGGGATCCCTGGTCTGAGAATTAAATGAGAAGCACATTGGGCAGCCCAGGTGGCTCAGCGGTTTAGCACTGCCTTCAGCCCAGGGCCTGATCCTGAAGACCCAGGATCAAGTCCCATGTCAGGCTCCCTTTGCATGGAGCCTGCTTCTCCCTCTGCCAGTGTCTCTGCCTCTCTCTCTCATGAATAAATAAATAAAATCTTGAAAAAAAAATAAGAAGCACATTGCAGTCATTCAATGTAAATTTCTTTCTTTCTGCTCCCATATCATACTGTATTTACTTTTAATATAGCATTAGCCACACTTTATTATCCTTATATATCTCCATATATATATACATACACACATATATGTGTATATATGTATATTTAAATATGCATTTGTATATTTATACACCCCTTAAATAACTATCTCTGCCATGAGATTGTGAACAGCTTGAAAGCAGGGACAGTATTTTTATACATATTCAACATCTCCTAAAACAGTGCCTAGCACATAGTAGGAGCCTCAGGAAACTGAATGAATGTGCCTGACAGGTGTTCAATCCTATGCTAGGTACTACACAAAGGGACCAAAATCATGATCACAATAATGTTAAATATAATAAAACATAACAAACACATAGCAATTACCATGTTTCAGACACAATTCTAAAGCCCTTAAATTAACCCTTTTCCTGCTCCCATTCCATTAAAGAATAACAATGTCTGCATGGTAGAAAACCCTTCATTCACTCATCAAGAAATACGTAAGTGCCTTCTATGTACCTGGCAATGAATGAAATAGACATGATTCCTGCTCTTAGGAAGTGGGGAAGACCAATATGGAAAAATTATTCTAATAAATCTTTTTTTTTTTAATACAGATTGCTATGGGAGCTTACGAAGACACAAGAGCATGTAAGCACAGAGAATTTATTGTAAGGCACCATCAAGGTCACTGAATCCACATGTTTCTTTTTTAAAGAGGGAGAGGGGGGTAAAGGGTAGAAGGAGAGAGAGAGAGAGAATGCCAAGCAGGCTCCCCATCTGGCACAGAGTCCAATGCAGGCTCAGTCCCACAACCCTGAGATCATGACGTAAGCCAAAATCAAGAGTCAGACACTTAACAGACTGAGCCACCCAGGTGCCCTATATACTTTTCCTTTTTAAGCAGTCGAGTAGTAAAGTCTCTCCTCACCCCAATCTCTGTACTTTCATCCCTCATACAGGTAGTCTAGAATCCAGGTCACCTGATTACTGCAGGCTGTTACTCTTTTTGCTGTTTTAATTCACAGATTTCTAAATACAACAGAAATAGATGCTATATATTAACAAACAGTTAAAGGACACTTTATTTACAGAGGAAGAGTCTTACATAGGTCATGATTGTGCTTGCCCATTATTAGTTATCTGAGGGTACACTTCTTCAGACATAAGTATTTCTGGCCATCAAGAAAATCAGAGGAAAACAACAATTCATAAATATATACTGCACAAACCTGGTTTTGGCTCAGGAATACGAAGAATTTTTTGGAAATACCTAGTATTTGACTGTTTTTGAACATGAAGGCAGATACTAACACTTCAACATAATATAGGAAGCATAAGCCATTCATGTTAGAGTGACTTACAGAAGTAGAAGATTTGGAACCACTCCTTTTAAGGATGGGTCATAACTTAATAGTAAATGCTTAATTAAAAAAAGGCAGTGAGCCTTAGGAAACTAGAAAAAGAAGAGCAAAATAAATGTGAAATAAGCAGAAGAAATAATAAGAATTAGAGCAGAAATCACTGAAATTGAAAACAGGAAATCAATAAAGAACATCAATAAGACCAAAAGCTGGCTCTTTAAAAAGAACAATAAAACTGATACTAAGCAAAAAGGAAGAAGACACAAAAGACTAATATCAGAAATGAAAGGTGATATCACTACAGATCCTATGGAAATTCAAAGGATAATGAAGGAATACTATAAACAACTCTAGATGAAATAGACCAATTCCTTTAAAGACATGATCTGCCCAAATTTACACAAGAAGAAACAGATGATCTGACTAGACCTCTATCTATAGAAGAAATCAAAGCAATAATCAACAGTCTTCTAAAACAAAGAGAACCAGGCCACAATGGGTTCATGGGATAAGGTGAATTCTACCAAATTCTACCAAACATTTAAGGAAACAATTACACCAATTCTCTGCTATGTCTTTCAGAAGATGGAGGCAGAGAGAATACTTCCTAACTCATGCTAAGACCAGCATTACCCTAATACCAAAACTAGACAAAGATATAAGAAAACTACAGACCAATCTCTCTCATGAACACAGATGCAAAAATCCTCAACAAAATATTAGCAAATGAATTCTTAAAAAGTATAACAAGGATTATACATCCTAAGAGGGATTTGTCTCAATGATGCAAGGCTGGTTCAACATTCAAAAACCAATTAAGGTAATCCATCAAATCAACAGGCTAAAAAGAAAAATTACATGATCATATTAATAGATGCAGAAAAAGCATTTGACAAAATCCAAACACCCATTCATGATAAAAATTTTTACTAAACTAGTAAGAGAGGGGAACTGTCTCAACTTAATAAAGGCTGTCTATGGGCCACCTGGGTGGCTCAGTCAGTTAAGCATCCAACTCTTGATTTTGGCTCAGGTCATGATCTCAGTGTCATGAGGCAGAGCTCCATGTTGGGCTCCACACTGGGCATGGAGTCTGCTTGAGATTCTTTCTCTTTCTTTCTGCCCCTCCCCACCCATCATGCACTCTGTTAAAATAAAATAAAAAATAAAATAAAATAAAGGCTATTTACAAAAATCTACAGCTAACATACAGAATAGTGAGTAATTCCAACTGTTCCCACTAAGATCAGTAACAAGGCAATCATGTCTCCTCTAGCCACCCCTCTTCAAAATCATACTAGAAGTTCTTGCCAATGCAATTAGGCAAGAAAAGGAACTTGAAGGTATACAAATTGGGAAGGAAGACATAAAACTGTTCACAGAAGAAATGATCATCTATGCAGAAAAATCAAAGGAATCAACAACACAAAACTCCAGAAATTAATATGTTATTACAGCAAGGTTGCAGAATACAAGTAAATTGCTTTTCTGCATATTAACAAAGAGGAAGTGGAATCTGAAATTAAAAACACAATACTGGGGCGCCTGGGTGGCTCAATTGGTTGGGCACCTGCCTTCAGCTTGGGTCATGATCCTGGGGTCCTGGGATCAAGCCCCACATCAAACTCCATGCTCAGTGGGGAGCCTGCTTCTCCTTCTCCCTCTGCTGCTCCTCCTGCTCATGCTCTTTCTCTCATTAATAAACAAAATCTTTAAAAAATAAAAATAAAAAATAAAAACACAATACTATCTATATGAGCACCCTAAAAAGGAAATACTTAAGTAAAAGTCTAACAAAATATATACAAGATCTACATAAGAAAAACTACAAAGTCTGATGAATGCAATTAAAGAACTAAGTAAGTGGATACTCCATGTTCCTGGATAGAAAGTCTCAATATTGTCAGGATGTCAGTTGTCCCCAATTTGATTTCCAGATTCAGTACAATCCAAATAAAAATCCCAGAAAATTATTCTATGGATATGGACAAACTGACTCTAAAGTTTATATGGAGGAGCAAAAGACCTAGAATAGCCAATACAACATTAAAAGAGAAGAACACAGTTGGAGGACTAATGCCACTTGACTTCAAGGCTTGCTACAAAGCTACAGTAATCATGATAGTATAGTTCTGGTGGAAAAACTGACAAATAGATCAATGGAACAGAATAGATAGCCCAGAAATAAAGCCACATTATCAATTGATCTTTGATCAAGGAGCAAAAGCAAGACAATGGAGCAAAGACAGTCTCTTCAACAAATGGTGCAGGAAAACTAGACATCCACCTGCAAAATCATCAACATTATCATCTAGATACAGTCTACACCTTTCACAGAAATGAACACAAAATGGATCACAGACTTACATGTAAAACACAACATTATACAACTAGAAGAGAACATAGAAGAAAATCTAGATAACCTTGGGTATGGTGATGCCAACATCAAAGATATGACCCATAAAAAATAATTGATAACTTGGACTTCATTAAAATCAAAACTGTTGCTCTGCAGAAGACAATATGAAAAGAACCAGAAGAAAAGCTACCAGCAGTGAGTTATCTCAATTGATTGTTCACAGAAAATAAGCCACAGACTAGAAGAAAATATTTGCAAAAGACACATTTGATACAGGATTACAGTCCAAAATATATTTTAAAAAATTTTGAAACTCAACAATAAAAAAAAAAAAAAAAAACTGGGGCACCTGGTTGGCTCAGTCAGTTAAGCATCAGATTCTTGATTTTTGGCTCAGGTCATGATCTCAGAGTTGGGAGACTGGGTTCCTCCGGGCATGGAGACGGCTTAAGATTCTCTCTCTCCCTCTTCCTCTGCCACACCCCCCACCAGCACACATGCACATAAGTTCTCTCTCCCACTAAGAAAAAAAGATTTTTTTTAAATGGACCAAAGACCTTAACAGACACCTTGCCAAAGAAGATATAAGGTAGCAAATAAACATATGGAATGATGCCCCACACAATAAGTCACTAGGGAAATGCAAATTAAAACAAATGAGGTATCACTACACACTATCACTGGCCAAAATCTAGAATACTGACAATACCAAATGCTGGCAAGGATGTAGAGGAACAGGAACTCTCATATGTTTCTGGTGAGGAGGTAAAAGAGTATAGCCCCTTTGGAAGACAGTTTGGCAGTTTCTTCCAAAACTAAACATATTCTTACCATGTGATCCAGCAATCATGCTCCTTAGTATTTATCCAACGAAGCTGAAAATCTTGTCCACACAAAAACCTACAAAAGGATATTTATAGGTAGCTTTATTCATAACTGCCAAAACTTCAAAGAAACCATGATGTCCTCCAATAGATGAATAAATAAATTGTAGTACATCCAGTACTAGCTTCCAAACAATATTATTCAGTGCTAAAAAGAAATGAGCTATTGAGCCATGAAAAGATATGGATGAAATTTAAATGCATATTACTAAGTGAAAGAAGCCAATCATAAAAGGCTACACACTGTATGATTCCAACTATATGATATTCTGGAGAAGGCACTAGGGGACAATAAACAGATCAGTGATTGCCAGCAGATGAGGAGGATTAGGCCTTGTAAGGGTAGTGAAATATTCTGTATGATATTGTGAGGGCAGTGTAATACTCTGTATATTATAATTTTATATATATACATCATTATATATTTGTCCAAACCCAAGAATACACAACACAAAGAGTGAACCCTAAGATAAGTTACAGACTTTGTGTGATTATATCAATGTAATTTCACCTTTGGTAAAAAATGTACCATAATTGTAAGTGATATTGGTAAGGAAGGAGGCTATCCATGTGTGAGGGCAGGGAGTATATGGGAAATCTCTATACCTCCCTCTCAATTCAGTTGTAAACTTAAAACTATTCAAGAAAAGGGGATCCCTGGGTGGCGCAGGGGGTTTGGCGCCTGCCTTTGGCCCAGGGCGCGATCCTGGAGACCCGGGATCGAATCCCACATCAGGCTCCCGGTGCATGGAGCCTGCTTCTCCCTCTGCCTGTGTCTCTGCCTCTCTCTCTCTCTCTCTCTCTGTGACTATCATAAATAAATAAATAAATTAATTAATTAATTAAAAAAAACTTTTCAAGAAAATAAAATCTTAAATTTTTTTTTAAAGTGGAGTCAGAGGAAAGAGTGGGGAACCCCAGTGATTCCACTTACTGGCTGTGTGCTTTGGGGACAGGAGAAAAGACTATCTAATTCATTCTTGATTCTCAGTATCTAACACAATGTCTAAGTCTTGGCACACAGTAGTACTCAAAATACATTTGTTGAAAGCTTGAATGAATAAACTGCTTAAATTTTTTGATAGGTTTTTTTTTTTTTCTGCTATTACTAGCAAGTGACAGAGCCAGGATATTCCAGGGGTGTCTATCCAGGGATTTTAGACAGTAGCAGACATGCTTATTATAAAGCTGTATCCATTTCTCAGAGACGATATCAATCCTGGTGACAGATTATGTTTCCCAAAGATTGCCACAACCCCATCAAGAGGTAAAGCCTAATTTTCCTCCTCACAAATCTGAGCTGGACTGACCCAACCAATAGTATACAGCAGAAGTAATGCTATGTGACTTCCAAAGCTAAATCAAAAATGGCCACTCAGGGGAAGAAAAAAAAAAAAAGGCCATTCAGCTTTTGCCTGGTTCTCTCGGATAATCCCTAGAAAGTGTCCTTCACTCATCATTCATTCAAGCTTCCAACAGATATTTGTTATGAATTCCTACTATATTTCAGACTCTAGACATTGTTTTAGGCACTGAGAATGCAAGAGTGAGCCACTCAACCACTGCCCCTTGTCCTCACAGAGTTTATACTCTAGAGGAGGAAAGAAATGAAGGGTGGGTAGGGCAGACCAATACAGCCAATAATTACAACGTGTATGAGATGCTTCTAAGAAAGGCAAACAGAGATTTTCTTGAGAATGGCAAGTCAAGAAATGACATTCCAAGGTGGTGACATTTAAACAAGCCATAACAGAGGAGCTGTTAGCCATATGGAGGAAGATAGAGGGAAACATTTTAGGGAAAGGAATAGCATGGGCAAAGGCACTGAGGCAGAAGAGTCCAACATGCTCTCTGAGGAACTGAGACAATGAGTATGGCTGGAACAGAGTAAACATAGTGGAAAATGCACAAGGACCAGAGAATAGATTTTTTGAAGCAATGCTGGTGAGTTAATCATAGATCAGTGAGAGTAGCATAACAGGAAACTCACCTCTTAAAATTATAACTTAAATATTATTTTAAAGCCAGCTTTTGGGATGCCTGGGTGGCTCAGCGGTTGAGCACCTGCCTTTGGCTCGGGCTGTGATCCCGGGATCCGGGATCGAGTCCCGCATCAGGCTCCCTGTGAGGAGTCTGCTTCTCCCTCTGCCTACATCTCTGCCTCTCTCTCTCAGTCTGTGTCACTCATGAATAAATAAATAAATCTTAAAAAAATAAAGCCAGCTTTATATAGCTTCAGATATAAAACAAAAGAACTCAAGTAAAAAGTGCTGATACTGAATACTGTATGACTAGATATAGTCACATAGCAAGCACATTATGAAAAAATGGGAATATTTCCAAGACAAAGGAACATATGGTTTGAAGGTCTTCCTGTAATTAACCTCTTTAGAATTTCAGGACACAAAAAGACAGAACTGACTTTCTCATTGACTCATTAATGGTGCATTTCATAAATCATACCTGATTTGACCTAGTTTCTTTAGCAGTCGTCTCAAAATGTTTCTCTGAAACCATAATTCATAAATGGGGAGGATGATCAAGCCTGTCACCAAAGGATGCCCTGTCTATCAAGAAACAGCCCCTTTATAGAATTCAGAACATCAAAGGGGCTCCCTATATACCCTGCCTAAAGGCTTTGTCCTCTTATCAGGTGTCAAGCCCATGAAAAAGAAGCGATGGACTTACAGATTATATCACACTACTGTCAAACAACTGTCCCTGCACCCAAAGACAACTAAAAAACAAACTGAAAAAAAAAAACCATTACTGTCAATGGTTCCCACAAAACCACCTCACAAGCCTGAGACCTCCCACCAAACACTAACTTTTTTTTTTTTTAAGATTTTATTTATTTATTCATGAGAGGTACAGAGAGAGAGGCAGAGAGAGAGAGAGAGAGAGAGAGAGAGGCAGGCTCCATGCAGGGAGCCCAATGCGGGTCTCGATCCCGGGTCTCCAGGACATACCCTGGGCCAAAGGTAGGCGCCAAACCGCTGAGCCATCCAGGCATCCCCCACCAAACACTACTTTAACAGCAAGGTCCTTTGGTCTCGAAGACTGTCTCCTACACTGGTTGGAACCAGTAAGTTCCAAGTTATAAAAGAGCTGATAAAATGTTATTATGGTAGTTGGAATACATGTTATTATTTTAATACTAAGATGGATTTTAGTCTTATAATTCAAAAGGACTGGTGCCTTCCTTTTTCTGCATGTGCAACCTAGCCTATTATTGTGGCTCTCAGTAGGAGCCATAAAAGAAGGCCTTTGGCCTCCTCTCCAGGAACAGTTTAAATAACAGGACAGGGACTCTCTACTCTTATCTGTACTATTGTTGCGACACCTGTGGAACTCTCTGAAGGCATTGTTCCTTAGGGACAAGAATGCTGAGACACCCCTACTCCTACCCATCTTGTAATCATGAGCCCTTGACCAGGCTAAGAACCCTCCCCTTTTCCTCTCCACTGAGCTTAGGGGTGGCAAGAGATGAAAACAAATCTCTGCTCTTGTTTTTGCTAATATCTGGTCATAAGATTTGCTCTGCTGGCAAGTAACAGCTCTTATTTTCATCTTCAGAACTAGGAAATCACTCTTTAACAACCACAATGCAGCGTCACCAGTAAGCAAAAAAAACCCAAAGGAGCTTGCAGCTAATACCTGTGGACAAGGATGCTTTAATGGTAATAGCAATGAAAAGGGGATAACCTAGTATTTGAAGTAAATCACTAGGACACCGACTCATAGTGAAGCCTTCACCTTCAGGTTGAATCTTGCAGTTGACACCTGAGGGGAAAGTGATTCTTCAGCACTAGATAATGGGATTCCTCAATGAGAATAAAATTCTTACATATAATGGATGAACAACAAATCATTTGCAGAAGTGACCCAAAGAACTACCCAGAGCACAGGAAATTTAGGAGCACTAGCATCCAACAAAGATGCCAAAGAGAGAATTCTCAAGAAAGTTGAAATTGCAGCTTTTCTAGAAAAGAAGGAAACCTACCTTGCTAAAGGAGGGGAAAAAAAAAAACAAAGAAAGTAGTGGGGCAACAGCTTACTTGATTCAAGTTCTCTGACTCCCAAGCCTAGGCTGTGACTTCCCTCTCTTATGACAGGAGTATTTTGTCTGAGGCCAACAACTTATTTTTAAACATATATATATACATATATACATCTCTATGCAATTCCTATAAAAGAGTTATCCCTAGTCCACCAAAAGAGAAAACAAAACAAAACACGCCAAAGCTGCCATTCAGAAACAGTTTAATGGTAATTTATTATCCTAGCATCAGCTACCCAGGAACTGGGTCGTTAGGGCTCTTGTTTGCTATGTCAGGCACTTTGCAGTATCCCAGATGCAGAGACTGTAATGACCAATATAAAAAATACCGAGAAGGCCCTGTTGGAAGCACAAGCATTCACTTGATGCACATCACCAGCAAACACTCCAAGGCAGGCTGCAGAGAAAAGGCCCTAGTGAGAGAGAGCTAGAGCTGGAGTCTCAACTTCTCTAGATATTCATTCTAAAACCCTGGACCCCTAACTCTCTAAGCCTTATTTCTATGTATGGTAATAGCCCTTTAATTCCTAAGTATGTAGTGCTATAAAGCTTGTAACAAAACAGCAGCAGTCCCCTACCTTACTCCTGATTTCTGCTTCCCAAAGGCAACCACTTTCAACTTTTAGCTCTTTCTCTTGGTATTTATCACTTTACTTAAAAAAAAAAAAAAAATCTCAGGACACCTGGGTGACTGAGCGATTAAGCATCTGCCTTTGGCTCAGGGCGTGATCCTGGAGTCCAGGGATCAAGTCCCACATCGGGCTCCCTGCAATGGAGCCTGCTTCTCCCTCTGCCTGTGTCTCTGCTTCTCACTCTGTGTTTCTCATGAATAAATAAAATCTTTAAAACAAAAACATGTTTGTTTTCTGGCTATTTAATTTGGGGTATGTGTGTTAGTCACTATTATCTTTCTATATAACATGATCATCACCCCCATAACTATCCATACACATGTA